TTAAATAAACTGCTAATGAAAGTGACCTCTCCAGTGTTCCGAGGCTGCTCACCCAGGCTGCAGGAAACCACACTGCACATGAAGGCACACRCAGTCTCCTTCTCTCTTTAGTATCCCATGAAGGGCTACGCTATTTCCAGTCATCTTGTCTTTAGGAACAAGTGTAAAAACACATCCACATGGTGCTGCTCAACTTAAACTAATAAGAGCTGTTTGACATGGGATGATTCTGACCTRAGTCTGCTTTTATGACTCTGTTCACCCTTTAAGGCAAAAAGGATTTTCCACAGGTACAGAACCAAGTCATGCCAAGCCAACCTCAGTGAGCTCCCATGAAACTCCAGCTGAAGAAAATTCAGCACAGGGAGAATTACAGATGCTTTTTGCAAGCCAGTTAGCACTAWGGAAACAGTAATTCCCTTATTTTCCTTTATTCAGATTGCTACAGCTCCTCCTCCTCATTAGCCAGGATAAAAGTTAACGGTACAAAAGTACTGAAATAAGAACTTTTCTAACCAGGACTTCACAATCTCTAATTATATTATAGATAACACTAATAACACAATACAGCAGTGCAATAAAGTTTGGCCCTATTTTGTTATGCCTCATCTCATAAGGTCCTCTTAGCTTCAAGGTCTTTCTCTGCACTGTGACAAATTACTCATCACAGATGACTCTACAATAATGTATGACTAAAACTAAAACCAAGACCTATCCTAAAGTGACAGGCCCTCCTCAGAATGTCAGAGCACGGATTCAGACACCTCGTGGCTAGGCCACCTCGTGCAGCTGAGCAAGCTCGGTGACCAGGCCCACACACTGCCAGCCACGCAACCATTTTGGAACTGCAGTGGAAGAAGCAAAAGCGAAGCCACACACAATTCTTCTTTTCAGTCCTCACTTCCACCAATATTCTTCCTCCCATTCATCATTGCCCCAGCAGAGAGTCGCTTCCTTTTGCTGCTACTCACTCTGATTTGCTTCAGAGCTGCCTGCGCTGCTGTTTTAACCCCTCCGCCCAGAACTCCTCCTGACTCTGTTCCTTTCTATTCACAATTCCTCCTTCTAAAAAAGCAGATATTCCCCCCGAGAAAAGCCTGTCACTTTAAAGCTGCAACTTCTCAGTTCATTTCCATACTTATCTCCACAGCCTACCTACAGCAAAAAGGAAAGGTGGTAGCAGGAAAAACTCCCTGCAAAGTCTCTTTCCTATGATACGTCCCCTCTACTGATATCCTCTGCCTTCTCCCTGAATGCTTCCTTGCTGCTTCCACTAACTGAAAGAGATCTAGCAGAATAAAAAGCAAGGAAGAAAAATAACCAGAGACAGTAAGAAGACATGCAGGAGGTTGTGATTTTCCATACCCATCTGACTAAGGAACAACAAGAAGCAGAGGGTCTGCAAAGCTAAACGTCAAGCAGACTAAAAATAAAGCCAGAACACAGGGAAAAACTACAGGAACAACAGAAGGAAAATGGTTGAGAGGACAGATAATAATGAAGGAAGAGATGATGTGGCAGACACTGTAATACAGTCAGCAGTATTTTGCTTTTAAGAATAATTGACAGAGAACATTCATACGAGGTATGATTAAAGAGCACAAGGCGAGAGGAAAAGCAGGCAGTGTGTGAAGGTTAAGTGGCGTTTCTGGATTACTGCACTGTGCAGAGGTGACAGTGCACATATCCCATGATTTTCACTGACTACAGCTGGCACATCCGCAGTGCAGTGCAGAGCCAGAGATTAGCCAAACTTAGTCATAAGGGCWTTCTTACTGCCTCAGTGTAATGTATTACCCTAAGCAGCACCCTGGTAGAATTACACTCTTTGCTAGCCCGCAGCAGTAGAGATGATCTGCACCACGGCCCTTTCTTTACACAGTTACAAAGCCCTCACTGAAAGGCAGTCCAGGGTTTCTGAATTGCTCCCTGCAATCCCAGACAAATACGAGCAACATATTATATCTCTGTAATGCATATGAAAAGGTAACACTGCTTTTAAATTACTTACTCTGGAAGAGATTCCATTCAGTCCCATACGGACTGAAGAGTAATGCTAACRATTCACATGCACTCGGCTGTGCTCCGAGAGAGCACTGCTTTCCTTAATTCCCCTTTCCAGATTAATTTTATCTATAAAATACACAGCATCTTCATGTGTGCAAGGATAATATATTACTGGTTATACTGGTTACCGAAGCTTTACAGAAGTCAGCTTCTTTTTAGATTTTGATTTGTATTTGAATCTCACACTCAGGTTACAATTAATTTTGAGGTCAATGTCACTCTTTGAAAGAAAACTGAATAGTTAACATATGAGCACTTTTGAGGAAGAAACCTGCTTTTAACTCACTTTTCTTTTATTCCTCAGGGAGTTTAACTACCCTTGACCATAGCAATTTAACTGGTAAACTGGAAGAGAATGAGATTTTAAGTATTACATTCTGTCAAAATCTGAAAGTGAATTAAAACCAAGTTTCCCAAAGCATCAAAGCAAAAAGCTAAAGTTTTCTAAGTACTTACAGAAGAAATATAATATACACCACCTTAAMTGAAAGAAGATTCCTCAGTGTATGAAATTGCTCACCACAATGTTTAAATGCCAGAGTTAGATAAATTCTCTTTAATATTAATACATTTTTAGAAATAAATTTACTTTAGCTGCACACTGGTGTTCACTTGCCATGGACAACTGGATCACTAGAGTTTTAGTGATAAAATAGCTTCAGAGGAAAACAAAAAGTTTGAAATTGCATGTGTCAGCGTTCAGAGGAAATGAAGTTGAAATTCACCCACATAATGCCCAAGAAATTCTGGAACCACAACATAGAAATTATAATAGATGGCAGCCTAATCTCAGCAATTTGTCTGGACGAACATAGCTCTAACCTAGAGTATTTGCTATAATTCATACTACGAAAGATACACTTTCTGCAAATCTGAACAACTTTTGAAGATGATCAGGTTACAAATGAGCTGAAAAAAGCAGCAAAATATCTTTAATCAACTTACATTTTAATCTTCCAAGGCTGTGATAGAGGCATAACTACGAGCAAACAAGAGAGAAAACTCTGAACTGACAGAATAATCTTTAGGAATAAGAAACTATCTTAATCCATATAGGGTTTTGATCTTCAGCTCCTTGCAGATACTACCAACAATTGTGAAAACTAGTAAGTAAATTTTGTATCAGTCAAGCTGGTAAAGTGTGAATATACATATCCTATATTTGCTGAACCAGACTTGAGCTGCATCTGCTTTTATTACTAAAGGTCCCAGTTGGCACAAATTCCTTACAAATTAATAGTCGGACGTTCTGTTCAGATTKCTGTTAAACCTAAAGCCTTGAGAACAGTTTTGTCTAATATGAGAAATGACAGAAAGTAATAAGTATCGTCTCCAAGACAAAAGCAGCCTCCTGCTTTCAGATTATCAAACATACAAGCAGCAAAAGCCTTCAGGATATGAGCTCTAAATACCACTGTAAGAAAATGAGATTCTCCTTGAGCTAATAGCCTGTATTTTTCAAAGTGATGGTCTTGAGGTCTGTCCTCTGCGTTGCATATATTACACTGATGCTGGAAGCTGAACTGCTTGCAGCTGTTTTTCTTTTCTTTTTTTTTTCTTTTTAATACGAACCTAAGTTGTTTTGAAGTGATATAATAGCGTAGCATTATGAACGACTAGCTTGCAAGCACTGCCCTGCATTATACCACAAGGAACATGAGACCTACTAGAGTACACRCTAAAACCTTCATCTCATTAGAGCTCCAGGAGAACTCTGAGTAACCAGTGTTTTCTGTAGCAGAAAAACAYGGCTTATTTCTCAGCTTTAGACTAATCCTTCAGCAGCTGCCATTCACTGTAACAAAACTGCTACCCAGATAAAAGCTATTTCAGTACTGACCAAGAAGGCTGGTTTGGCTTCAGCCAGTGAACACATCTCCGTTTCCAGTAGCCACTCAACGGTTACTGGAAGCGAAACCACCAGAGGTGCCCAGTTCTTATCCCCAGTGCAATCCTGCTCGTCAAGATAAGCAGTCTGCAAATACTGAACAAAGCCTAGGCATCCAGCTCCATGATTTTCCCTCTCTACTTATTCACAACAACACTTCCAGGATCCTTTAGTGCAGCCTTGAATCCATGGTAATGTTCAGGTAGTCACACAACGAGATGGATCACAGAACTTATTTAAAAAAAAAAAAAAAAAAAGTGAAAGTTTTTGGTAATCAGGTTAGTCTTCAGCCCAATCACGTGGGCTGAGTCCTGGCTCAAAGGAGAAAAGAAAACACTTCGCTCAAGCAAGGTGGGATCTCCTACCTACAGGACAGCTCAACACTAAGACTAGCTTGAAGCGATCATGGAAACTTATCTCCTGTCCTGATCAGCCATGGAAGTGAGGCCTGCAGTCCCTCCTAACGTCCCCAGGCCACAGCTCAATGTCACAGAGACTTTGCAGAAGCCTCTGCCTGGACAAAAGGCTAAAACTCCAACCCAGCCCCCCATTTCCAAAACTAGCTCTGCTTTGTTGTTCAGAGCAACTAAGAAGGCAGCATTTCTCTGTACATTCACCTGAAAGAAATCAAGATGACAGCACTGTGAAATACCCTATTAAGCTGACAGCATTTCTCATGTATATTTTGGCTTGTTATACAGTTTTCTGCTTGATATTTGTAAACAAAAGCAAAAGTGACATAAATAAAGGATTTTCTCTTTCTTCATGGCATAACTCCTGAACCATTTCCCATTTAGAAACAACAGCTCCAGAAAGTTACTCTTTCTTTGAGCACCAAAGTCTATAGCAAGCTCATAGGAGGTCTAAGGTAGAAAGCCTTGCAGGACGCTGAAGGAAGGAGACTGACCCTTAAAAACTATCAAATAATAAACATTATCCTGGAATAAGCTTGCAAATTTTAGAAATACTAATAAAGAAAAGGGAAAAGGAAATGAGGTTTTCAAAAATAACATAATGCTTTGAATCCAACATTAAAAATACTTACAACAACTCCACTCTTGGTGATAGTTTCCCGGTATGTAAAATTGCACACAGCCCAAGCTAGGTAATATGTGGACATGAGAGGGGTCTGTGAAAAGTGATCTGTAACCCATCCATCCTCTTCAAAAACRGAAGTTTCAACTGGCATGTTGGACAAAGACAGGTAGGTTGCCTGATGCCTGATGCTGATTTTGAAAGTGGCCTTGTAGATGGGCTCGTCAAAGCATGGAAAGGCTTTTCTGGCATGCGTTGGAGAAAACTGTGTAACGCCTAGAAACCTGGACGGGATGCAAACAGAAAGAAACAAAGCAGAAATCATTACTAATTGCTTGCRGCAGGTAGCTCACAGACATACCAAGCAAGATGATCTTTGACTACTTTTCTTCAGGAAAAAGAACACTGAAGTATAATACTACTTTATSAGTGTGGTCCTTCTTGGTTTGAATTCTTACCATTCATACTGTACAGCAACCAACACAAAGTCCATGAACTCTCAACAGATTTGCAGACACCACACTGATATTAAATAAATAATCCCTTGCTTACTATCAAAACTCAGGCTCCACCATTAGTTTTGTTCATCAATACGTGAAAAAGACTAAAATAAATAAGCTCAGGCTTCAGTTAAAAGAAAATAGGATTTAATGACCTGAGGGATCTCACTGCTAGCAGACTTTGCCTTTCATTGGACATGAGAACTTATCTTCACCGAGTGCACTCAAGAGGGTCATTATTTTCCACTGCTGACTCTTTGTGTCTTGGTTGAATGTAGGTCTCCGAGTCACACTACACTACAGCACTATTGTTACTGGAGAAATCCAATGAAAAACATTCTGTGGGCTTTGCAAAATTACAAATATAAGCAACTGATTAAACATCTACAGAGCCGTTTTTCTTTTTTCTGCACATGCTTTTCTTTTCAAATGAATTTTATGGAGGACAAATCAATTTCTCAGTTAATGGGTCAAATTACAAAAAGACCTCTGAGGGAGAAAAAAGGCATTTATTATGTCTTAATACAGAATGGGAAGGTTTATTTTGGCAATTTTTATTGTGTAACTGTTTTCCATGGAGATTTTAATTCAGATCAAGTAGATGGACCTTTGTAGGCGCTTACATTTTTTTACATATATATATATATATATATATGGAGAAAAAAAACATATGTGACAACCTCTTCACAGGAAAAAGTTACATTTAAAAGGTAAAAAAAAACCCTACAGGATACATGGGATTATTTTCTGTGGGCACACTGGATGAGAAAATATCCTTATGATAAGAAAGTAACTACGATTCAAATATGTAATTATAAAAGTAGCATATATGTAGGTTGTTTCAGTAGTTTGAGGAGCAGTGTTGGTTCATGTATCATTTGTTGCTTCCAGCAGTGGTAATACCCAAGCAATTTCAGATACCAGGTAAACATTTATCAGAATTTTACAGGCTGACTAATAATCTCTTTTTCTTCCATGGGAAGAGGAGGGCTAGATATATTTGATATATAGTGAAAACGATGGAACCCATTACAAATCCYTCTGTAAGTGTTATTCTGCAATACGATGGTCTATAATGCTGAGGAAGGAGGAAGGAAAGAAAAAAGAAAAGCTAACCTTTAGGAAAGAAAATACACACTTTTTTTTCTAACAGCTTTTGGGGATTTTTTCAAATACTTTATAGCAATATTTTATAAAAGCAATGAAGAAATTAACTTTTGGGAGCGTTACAATACTYTTATCTTACTAGAATGCTTCCACGCCTGATAGAACTAGATATATGTTTCCTATTGAAGGCTAGTCTTTAAAAAAACAACTTGAAAACTTATACCACACTGAAGCTTTTACCATTGGTCTTGCAAATTAAAAAAAAAAAAATGAAGTTTTAATAGGCTCTTAACTATTTAAGGAATTCAGAATATTATGTTTTTCACGCCTATCATAAAACACCGATTAGTAAAAATCACAACATTGCTTAATATAGTTCCTCTCAGGTATTCCAGCATTAACCCAACAAAGTTCCATTATTATCAGTAGATTTGCTCTACTGCAACAAAGCTGAATTGGCCTATTAAAAGGAACAAGGCATCTTAATTTATATGCAAAGTATTACTGATGGGCCTGATTCTGCATTCTGGGCACACTCAAAATAGCTACAGATATCAAGAGGGGCTTCGAGCAAGCATGGAAACAGTACTGGCCTCTTATTAATGAAGCAAGAATGAAGAACTTGCTTCCACAATTAGCAATTTTAATAAGCACAAACACTAAATGCACAGTTAGGRGAACACTTTATATATCCTGACACTCCAAATAAGGAAGCATTGGCTTTCACTTCTTAGAGATACTGTCTGCACTCCTTTAATATTTGTTGTGTTTGGCAATTGAAGCAGCCTCTTCACCAGGCTAATAAAAACTGACATACTCTGCATCTTCAGTATCCACATAGACAGATGTGTACACCCACACGCACGTAACAACTGGGCAAACACTAGGCAATCAATATTTCATACTAAAAATACATCAAACTACGAATAGCAGGGGTATTTATAACCCGTGCCTTACTATTAAACATGAATTGGCTTGTTGTACCATAAATAAAAGGGAAGTTGAAATCTGCTCCCCAAAGACTAAAGTGTTACTGAAAAAGTTTATGCTCATCTATTTCACTCTGTTTTAGGAGAGGAGAAAAAAAAAAAAAGGCAAAATTTCTATGCCATGACAAAACTGAAGAGCACATTTAGTATTTCATCTCTACATCTCTCTCTGGGCACTGACACTTTTATCTCCATTTCCCAAAAATATCACCATTAGAAGTAGTACTTCTGGGAATGACAGCCTCGCAGCCTGTCTTTTCAGCATACCCACGGCAGTAATTTGCAGGTATTTTAATTCCATCTCATCTATTAGAGGGAGACATGTGTTTCCTCAACAACTCGTCTATTTTGACATGTCAGTTGTTAAAATGGAAAAATCTCTCTGTTTGTTTTCCCTGAATGATGTAAGATATTTTTTTTTCCTTTTCATTTATGCCGAAGTTTGATACTCATTTAGATTATGCCTGGATATCATGGCACTCTACAAAAGCTCTATAATAGATGCTGTTGGTAATTGCCAGTAAATTCTAGGAGGTAACACAAAATAACTCTGCAGTTTATCACTTGCATTTTACCCTTCAATTAAAGGTGCAAAGATTTCAACAAGAAAATACTTTCCTGCCACTGTGGACATTTTAGACTGATACATGACTTTCCCCTATGAAGACAGCAGAAAATTGGACTAACATTTCAGTTTATGGAAAAGAAATTATAAGCAGAAAGTGTTATTATGTTTGTGAAGCCTCACAGTTAAGCAGAGTTCTGCACTTCTCATGCACCACAAAAGTGAAAAATGATGCTAAAGCTCCTTTTATAGCAAGCACTACTCCAATGATGTAGCAATATTTTAATCGAATATAAAGATGTCAGAAAGCTCAAGTTATACTGAAACACCGAAGCCCCTCAGAGCATGAGAGAAGCCATTCAATCTATCATGATAGATACTGTCCACATTTAAGAACTACAAATGGTTATCCACATTACACTACAAATGAAGTTACTAATCAAAATGCAAATTGCTACATTGCAGGAGCACACTCTGAACAAAGAAGTTCCACGGTCTAGAATGTGTATATTTTATACTACAGTCAGTCACTAAACCTGTGACAGCTCCAAAGAACAAGCAGTCTTTCTGTTAAATGGCTGAAACTCGATTCACATAGCGGCTGGTTTTATAAACAGYGTTTCCTGAAAGGAATATGACAGAGCTAAACCCTTTGCTGCTGTAAGGAGGAAACACCATTGATTTCAACAGAGCAATGCTCTCTTAGYTCATCCAATCTAATCATATGTGAGTGACATATTAAAAACAGAGAGCAACCTGTAGCTGAAAAGTTACACTAGAAGTACTGGGTAACAGTAATTATGTCTTAAGCTATCTTTGTGTTTCTAAAAGTGAATAAAGTTTTCATCATAATTATCAGGTTATCACTCCTGAAGTGCAGTACAGTAACTTGGAAGAAATGTCACTGCAGCACCTGAGTTTATTTACGATTATATAAAGTTCAAATATACCAGAATAACTGCTTGAATAATTTCTTGTTCTTTTTGTAGACAGAATTACACTGCTGTTATTATCAATACTTTGTCTACTTATAGACCTATACGAAAAAGAACAGATSAGAACTCTTGATCACCCCAGTCATTCAGCACTCAGCAATAAAAGGCATTTTAGCTGCATCTCTTCCTACAGCCTTCACTCTTCAAAATCTACTTAATTTCACTATGATGACAAATCATACAAATTTAATTTCAGTCCTGTTTGTGATTCTAATAACAGCCTGTTTAAAGTGTTCAGTAGCCATAGCGACAAAGACATCTTTTAACATGAGGACTGTTGATTTAACCAAGTTGGGGAGTGCTCTTTTTCTGCCTGACTTCCTTCTTTTGGCTTCATCTTCCAATTACAGCCTCTCAGCTTCACGTGAAGCATAAAACAGACAGACTGAGCACGGCAGAAGCTGGAACTGCACGGATGTTTCAGGAAAACACAGATTAMATTAAAATAATGAGCACAGGAGCACAACCACAGAGAGGTCCGTCCCACCGCTCTTCTGTATCATGTGCCTGAACGTGCTTAAAACTTTTWAATGGATCTCCATAACTCACCTACCACAAGCGTGGCCTTAATACTAGCCCGAGAGCTACAGTAATAAATAATTAATTAAAGGTCGCATCCTGGCGTRCGTGAGAGTGAAAATTGAGCCCGTTTTGTCAGAGAGCGCAAATTCGCGGCGACTCGGCTGCAGCCGCTGAGCTCGATCTATTCGCTTGCTGTGAAACCACATCCCGGCACAACTTCTTGTATGGAGTGACCGGGAGTGCGGGAGAAGCGCCGCTCTCCCGCACCGGGATGCGCSCCGGCTCCGGTGCAGGCGGGACAGGGATCCCCCCGCGAACCGCGCCAGGCACGGCACGGCACGGGACGGCTCGGGGGGCAGCCGTAAAGCGCCGCGCCTGCTGCGGGGCCCTCGGCCAGCGGCTTCGCCTCCCTCAGCGAGCCCGGAGGAGAGCCCAGGAGCCCCGAGGAGAAGCGGGGAGCCCCGAGGAGAGCCCGGGGAGCCCCCGAGGAGAAGCGGGGAGCCCCGCAGCTCCGGCGCGCGCTCCTGGCGCCGCCCCCCGCCCGTCCGCCCGCCCCCTCGAGGCCCGGCCCGGCCCGCGCCGTCGGCGCCCACCTGCGCTCGCCGTGCAGCACGTAGGAGCTGCGGAAGAAGCCGAGCAGCTCGTTCTCGATGAGCGCGTTGTAGATGATCTTGAGGTTGTAGCTGCGCTGCGCCTCCAGGCTGCGGTTGAGCACCACCACGAACACCTGCGTGGGCGGGTGCAGGAAGAAGTTGGCGACGCGCACGGCGCCGGCCAGCTTGTCCTCGGCCACGCGCACGGCCTCGATGTGCATGCGGTGCGCGTGCAGCACGATGTAGCGGCTCGCGTTGCGCACCTCCAGCTGCACGTTCACCTCGCCGCAGAAGGTGAAGTTCTCCATGAAGGCGCTCAGCATCAGGTTGTAGTGCAGCGGGCGCAGGTGCCGCGGGAGCCGCGCGCGGGCCCAGGGCGGCGGCTCCCGGCGCCGCTTCCACTCCTCCTCCTCCTCTTCCTCCTTTTCCTCCTGCTCCCGCTCCGCCGCC